ATATTATTATTGGGTGAGTGGTGATATTAACTTACCACAGACATATCATGTCAAATCCTATCTAACAAGACATGTCTGTACAGAAATTCAAAATATGTATTTGTGGTTATTAAAAAATAGTTAACATTACATTACACAGTTTGTCCACCAGAGAGCACTGACAAGTACATTTTTCATCTGTGAATTGTCCCACTCAGTATATATTTTGGTTCCAATTCTTTAATAACCAAATTGAACGGACCAATTTGGTTATTAAAGTTTGTTTGTTTGTGTTTTTCATTTATGCTGATAAAATGTGTATATGGTTATCAGATGTTTTAAACACTTTCATTTTGAATATTAGTATCTGCTTCCCAAGCCCAATTTCAGCCAGGCTCTATTTTCGACCCGGGAAAAGTAGTCTTAAACAAGGAACTGGGTTCTCATTCTCATACTCGTGTTGTGCTCTTTACTCCTTTCACAGGGAGACCATGCTCCAAGCCTTAAGGTTTGTCATCCAGGGGGCCGGGTCAAAGGTGGACCCAACCATCCGCAAGAACATCACCACCACATTATTAGGCATGCTGGGACACGATGAGGTATGACAGGAGGGGCAGATGCCTTGCAGCAGCAAGTAGACCTTAGAAGGTTTTTTTTTTTTTTTTAATCTGTGGCAACACGCCTGTTTTTCCACCCCAGGGCCCTCAATATCTGCTGAATAAATGAAGTCATTACCAATGAAATGCAGTATAAATTTATAAACACTAATAAGGGATTTCACAGAGAGAAATTCAGTGGTGTAGTTTCCTCTGTGCACGCAGTAGAAAAACGGAAGTCAGAAGCAGAGAGGATGTGGTTTTCTAAAAAGGTGGTTTTGAGCCTCCATGTCAGTTTGAGAATAATGACTCGACCTGTGTCTGTCTGGCTGTCTCTGCACGCACGTAGGATGCGACGCGTATGGCGTCAGCGGGCTGCGTTGGTGAGCTGTGTGCCTTCCTGTCAGAGGAGGAGCTGAAGAGTGTGTTACTTCAGCATGTCTTGGGTTGGTATTTATATGCAAAGTTATCATCACATCACGTATCACATTATATGTATAATGCTGGGTTGTCTTATTTTAATGTCAGCATAATTGCTGTTTATTGCAATAACTGACTTGATATAAAGACTGAAATTATAATAGCGACTTAGTAAATGTATATTGTTACTTATCTTTTAGCACAAATAGTATTTTTCGTGCCCTTTTTATGAATATTTTTATACTAACATGACTCATAACATATGTCCAGCATAACTGCATCAAAAACGTTGTTGTTGATGTTTGCCTTTGTCTATTTGTTATGAGCTAATAATATATTTTCCCCTTCAGCGGACGTGTCTGGTGTTGACTGGATGGTGCGTCATGGTCGTAGCTTGGCCCTGGCCATAGCTGTCAAGTCCGCTCCTGAGAAGCTGTGTAGCAAGGAATACTGCGATACTGTGAGCGAGACAATTTTGGCCAATGCCACTGCTGACAGGGTAAGTTTGTGTGGCACTATATTTGAACTGATGGCTGCAGTGAACATCCTGAATAAGTCACCATTAACAGTATAGCTTGATATTATTCTCAAGTTGTGGTTGTATTATGAGTTGTTTGCTGTAACTTCTTGGCTGTTGTAACCGTACGATTGCCAGTGCCGACAACCAGCCAAGAAATCATCCCAATATGTAAAACTACGTATTTAAGTAGCAGTTAAATAATAATTACATCCATTATTGAACAGCGAAGATTGTAGTCTGATGACGACAACCTGTCGGTCCTTGCCTTTCCTTTGAGTAGTCACACTGACATTCAGAAAAGGAACGCGGCAGATTGATTATCACACAATTCAATGAAAGATTCAACAGAAGATTCAAAAATGAAAGTAATTAGTATTTTTCACTCTCTAAATGACAAAGAAGTCAAACTTATTTTAGCATATATAAGGTATGGTATATAACAATTAATATAGGTTACAGTCCTCTGTTGTTCCCTTATGTTGTACATTCATGCCCATTCTCCTTATGTGTGTCAGTACATATCGTGATTCTGCTTTTCTTCCAGATTCCCATTGCCACCAGTGGGATCAGAGGGATGGGATACCTGATGAGGCATCATCTCAGAACTGAGGGAGTCAATAGTGTTTCTCAGCGCATCATTACACAGTTTGTCAAGGTAAAGTGTTTTATTCCACTGATAGTCACTGGCTATTTACTTCTCTTTTCAAGTGAGGAAGTGAGTGCTAAAATGTTGTTCACAGTGAATGTATGGACTGAATGAATCAACATTCATTCATTTATTCATTCATTCATTTTCTATACATGTTTCTTCCTCTTTATGATCTTAGGTGAGCTGGAGCCTGTCCCAGCAAATGTGCTCTTATGAAAAATAAATTAAAGCTGCATTATTCTTTTTGTTTTCTTATTAGAAATGGGTTAAATGGCAATGTGAAATCATCCATCAGCAGGTGTTTTTAGTGAAAAGGTTCAGACAGACAAACGTAGCAACTAGCTGGTGGACATAAGGGAGAATTTAGCTGCTGAAGACCCAGATATTTCTCTCAGAGCATGTACTAGAAACCAAGCAGCCAACACAGAAGTGACAAAAACAATTCCTCTGACGATCAGTAGCCCCATATTAAAATGCCCACCAAAGCAGAAATAAACATGTTTCTATAGCTAATGTCTAATGCTTTAAAGCTGAAGTAGGTAACTTTTATGAAAATATTTAATCCTTTTAATAATTAAGTCATATTTGCTGAAACTTTCACTGTATCCTGACAGTAGTACATAATCCAGTTCCTCTGGCTCCTCCTAATGCTTCTAATGGCATTAGTAAGAATCCACAGGACCTGAACGAAAACAACCAATCAGAGCCAAGAAAGATGGAAAGATGCTTTGGGTTGGTGGCTTGAATATAGTTGATTGTTGGGTCTCATTCCCAGCACTAGTTTGACAACCTGGTAATGAGACTCAACAAACAAATATCTTTCTCAGCTCTGATTGGTTGTTTTCATTAAGGCCCTGTGGATTTTTTTCACAGATTATCTGTCTCATGTTCTACTGTCAGGACACAGTAAAAGTTGATTGATGATGTAGGTTGAAAGTCCAATAGTAACTTGAGACTGTAGAATACATTCATAGATGGTAATTACCTCCAGCTGCCATAGCCAGTCCATTCAAGACCAGATTGATCTATTTCTTTTTCCTCTGAAACCTGTGAGTCAAATATCAGTCATGAATCATTAATTTCATAAGGAGTTCAGTTATACGCTAAAATCTCATTATGAAAGCTGATATCAGACTGATAGATATCACATACCAAGTAGCTGTAAATGAAGACACAATGCTATAACACAGTGTGTATAGGATGTTGAATACTGTGATGAGGACCTGCTTCAGCAGTGTGTTGTAGGTTGAGGATTTGTGTGATGACGTCTGTTGTCTGTGTGACCGCACAGTGTCTTCAGAATCAGTCCAGTGACATCAGACTGGTGTCGGAGCGAGTGTTGTGGTGGGTGTTCAAAGACCCGGCAACGCCCTGCATGGAGGCCAATCTCATCAAGCCCCTGCTGAAGAGTCTGCTGGACAACACCAAGGACAAGAACACCAGTGTCAGAGCTCAGAGTGAACACACCATTGTCAACCTGCTACAACTCCGCCAGGGAGAGGAAACCATGCAGGTCAGACTACAGACTCCCCACTATAATTTACAGATGGATATAACCTATATAGGCAAAAACTGTTTTTCTCACTTTTTACTGTTTGCTCTTTCTACAATTCAGGGTATTACTGCCATTCTGGACTCTGCAAGTAACGACCTACTGTCCGAGTGTCACCGCCGGTCCTTGAAGAAAATCGCCAGCTTGCCAGACTCCAATGAAGAGATCGATGACACCATCCTAACGTGATGGAGCAGGACTGTGCTATGAAATGATCTCTGCAGATCCCCACTGTACAACCCCAGACACACTCACAACACATGCCCATGTTGCCTTTCATGGACCAAGGCTGAGATGGGTAGTGTTTTCCCACATATTCCCCAACAAATTTATTTTCTTTTCTTTCTCACTTTGTGTCATTGTTTTAGCGGCCTTTAAGCCCAATTTATAACTTTTTATTTTGTCTCACAACGTGCAGGTTATTCTCCTGTACTGAACTGCATAAGGCCATTTCTGTTTTGATGTTTCAGTGTTTTGCTACTTATTTTACCAAAATTATTTCAAGCATTTAAGATGCCGCTGTAATGAAATGACACCCCTATCTTTAACTTTTATTTGGACTTTGTGTGTGAGAGTTGTTTGGGGGGGGGGGGGCAACCTCTTATAAGAATAACAATCATTCTTATGTCAGTGATACGGTTGTAAAAAGGCAATACAAAATAAAAAGATCTTGATTTCATAATGTAGTGTGTGAAATGTTGGAAAGCTGTTTTCCTTGTGGTGGGGTGAGGGGTTGCGGAGACTTTCATTACACACTACTGTAACTGCACACATTTCTTTGTACATTACCACTACTGGTATTTGAGATTTTTTAAAGATGTCAGTAAATCTGGGGATTTGAATGGAGACAAACTACGTATATGCAGGCACATTGTGAAGAATTGTAGCCCTCCTGGAGTGTCACCTTGGCTGTCTGACGCACAATCATCACTTGGATGACCCTGAAGGGTGTCTAAAGGAAAAAGGTTTTAAATGTGTTTTATGTTGCTTGGACATATTAATCATTTTCTTTAAGGTACTATTACTGTTATTAGTCTGGTAGTCAGGGATGTAGTGAATTTACCATATGCTTATCAATGTGTGTCTGTATATAGTGTAATTTATGTTGTCTAGATCATTTTTTAAGAAATGTGAAGGATTCAGCCATTTGTTGGACCCTGCTTGTATATGTGAAACAACGAGATGGTACGAGCCTCCTGCCCTTGTAGTTGTAGCCCGAGTCTAGTGTTCATCAATGGGATAGGGCGGCTGTGCTGTAGCAGGAGCCTGCGCAGTGAGGCCGGGTCAGAGTTGGGTGCAGCTCCACCAGAGAAGGAAGCGGAGTTTCCGGCTGTTTGCAGCGGAGGGAGAGGATTGCTGACGCCGCGAAACCCCGAGAAAAACGCCGGCGGCTCGGGGGGGGTAATAGTTCCTAGCATCGGTAGTGGTCGTTTTCTTTCATATAGGGGGATCTGGGGGCTGGTGATTTTTTTTTTACTCGCCGAGGGGGACGGACACAAACCGAGCAAAGAAGCGGCACAAGGCGGGGGTGAGCCACCAGCTACCGGCATGGCCAGGGACTACGATTACCTCTTCAAGCTGCTCATCATCGGTGACAGCGGTAAGCCGACGCCGGGGATGCGAGACGGGAAGTGGGCCTTGTCGTGTTTTTTTTACAAGGGGAGAAGAGGAAATGCAGCTCTTTACCCGCATTTTACTTCTATGATGCGTTTCAACGTACTGTTGTTTTATTTTCTTCATACAAAATGATTACTGAAATGTACACATCCGCCATATTTCTGTGGCGGTGACAGGGCGGAGGTTGTGTGTCCGGGCTGGGCATGTCAGCCGATCAGGCCGGATATCGCCTCTAGAGCTTCAGGGTTCGTCTCTCGGAGATTTTCCAGTCTTGTTTTCATATCGGCTGAGGCATTTGTTTTAGCTCCACAACAAAACACACTCTGTAACCTAAATACCTACACGGTGGTTCCCATGTTCGTTAATTTGGCCTCTAGTTTGTATCTCATGTTAGCTGTGCTAGCTAGTTGGAAGTTTGTGGCTAACTGTGAGCTAACGTTAGCTGAGACGCTAGCCTTCTGTGAAGTTGAGGCTCTGTCTACATACGCTAAAGATAGCTTCTGCTGCACGGTGCTAAGTGAGGTAGTAACTGAGTAAGTTATTGAAATGCATTCTGTTATTTAGCTGGCTAGCATGGTAGTGCTAGCTGCTATATAGTGGAGGAATGCTGCACTGCATTCTGCTTTGCATCCATCCAGTCACATTATAGTAAAGTGAGACTAACAAAAGTGGTTGCTATCAAATGTAGTGTGACCTAATTAAGTACGTCTTTCCGCAAATATGCTGAGGTTCAAAGACTACTGACCTATGTGGTAACCTTATCTACCTGTAGGTCCTTTATTACGTTAAACCCCGTGGCAAACAATGTCACAGTCACAGGTAGATGCATAATGTGTACCACTGATAAGGACTGCTCTTCTTGTATCTGCCTATTAAAGAGAAGACATGCCTTTGTAATGCGACTCCACCCTCAGCAGGAGTAAAGCTTCAGCCTGCAGAACTTCTTTGTGGGCAGTGATGTTTGCATTCATTGACAGCCCCGATCCTGGCACTACCCCATCAGCTGTCTGCTCACACAGTAGAGGGCAAGGCAGCACAGCAAGCCCTTCACTGCCACTCACACACAGAGGCCAGTGTCCCCCTCAGCTGCAGCATGGAAGTACATCTGTCTGTAATGCTGCACAGAGATGATTTAGGAAAGATGCTCTGACCTCTGCCGCTCCTCAGCTTCATGCAGACAGATTTGCCGCTGGGAATCCACGCACTGCATCTCCAAGCTGTGCCGAGGCTGAGTTTTGTCACTCAGCTAGACTGGTGTAGCCTCTGGACCGTAGCACATGCACATGACATATCTGTGTATGGAGAGTGGTTTGACACAAGCTCAGCTGTGTAACATAACATTCTGTTTACAAGTTCCATGCTGCAAAAGTTGAAAATAGAAATGGTTTCATCACTGACACCTTGAGGAGTTTGAGTTCTGAGGGAGATGGTGATTTTCTTGGCCAGGCAGTGGGAAGGCTTATAATATTAAAGCTTCAAAAGTACAACAAGATGATCTCTCTTCTGCTTTGAAGCTTTGGTTATTGTTGTTTGAACAAAACTCTGTAGTGTGGAACCCACAGGAACCTGAGAGCTTTTATGTTGCGACCAATCAAAAACAAGCTGACAATAACACAATAGGTAGGCTAGGTCAAAAGCCTGCAGGTTGAGTCCCACCCCAGGTTGGGCAGCAGTCATTTCCTAACCTGACAACTGATCTGTTGAAGACACAGGACTGATCCCTCAGATATCTTCATTTTCAATCCCCCCCTCCCTCTGCTTTCTTCTTTCCTGTCGTCTGTTGTGTGACTGTTACGTCTTCCTTAAAGTGATTTATTAAGCACGATAATTTTAGGAGGTAGATATATTTGTTCCATTTGATGTCTTGTGTCTGTGGCTTTGACGCAAGCCTTCACAACTGCTGCTGCTTCTGTAGGTACAGGCGTCATCAAAATGCTTTAAACGAACATGTAGGGTTCAGCCTTACTTACCTGAGCTCGCCCTGTAGGCCGTGCAACAGGTACAACTTTGTCTGTATATCTTGAAGAACTAAATCTTTAGGTACAAAAGGATTACAGCAACTGTTGAGGTGGTGTTAGTCTGGGGTAACTAGAGTATAATATGAGCAACAAAAACTCCATGGACATGTGTTGCTTTGTAATCCACAAAATCTGCTATAAACTTGCTATAAACAACATGTTTTTCCCCAAACAAACGTAGTATTTATGTTGAAAGTTTAAAGACAATGCACCGTGTTTTTGTTCTTTTGGAAACCTGTTGTACTCTAACCTCATCCTGTGCTTGTGTTTCCTCCTCAGGAGTGGGGAAGAGCAGTCTCCTCCTGCGATTTGCAGACAACACATTTTCAGGTGTGTGGTTCTACCTCAGCCACGGCAGCATCCTTTTAAGACTTTGTACTTGTGCCGTTGCGGGTCATTAACTCAATTTTGTGTCGGCGTCCGTGTTTGCAGGTAGCTATATCACCACGATTGGCGTGGACTTTAAGATCCGGACGGTGGAAATCAACGGGGAGAAGGTGAAGCTACAGATCTGGGATACAGCAGGGCAGGAGCGCTTCCGCACCATCACTTCCACGTAAGTACATCCACGCACACTTTTGCATTGGCTGTTCAGGTGAAGCCTGTCGTTTTCATTTCAGCTGTTGAATCTGAAACCAAGAAAAGGCTCTTTGCGGTCCTCAGATTAGGTATTATTTGAGGAAGCAGTTTGTAGACAACTAAAATGAGTCGGTGCTGCTCTATGAAACTGGGTGGAATTCCCCACAGATCCTAATTACAGATGTGAGAGGGAGGCTCCTGGTCTCATTCTGTAGTGCTGCATGATGGCAAGGGCTGGGTGTCTTTACCCTATTACGCTCATCGTGTGTCACGCTGCTGTCGGGGTGTTGTACCGCATCCATGTAGCTCTGGGTTCACACTGCTCTAGAGCAGAGCTTCCACACCTTTTAAGGTGATAACACAAGCATTTAAATCTGTTAGGTAATGACAACTCACCGTACGGGAACAAAAACCAAGTATTGTCTGTATAGCCACAACCTGATGTACCTTAAGTGTCTGCGGTAATGGAACTCCATTGCTGCATAAATACCATTTAAAAACTTTGTTCAGTCGTCTTTGGATCAGTTAAGTGTTATGGTACAGAAGCTGCATCATGCTACACAGCCAGTACCTGTTCATAAGGATAAGTTAATTGCTGGTATTGGTCTGTCCAGATAAATTGTTGATAATGATAATAACACAGGTTTTATCCTTTAAATCCAGGACTCATACTTGCTGGATTTTCTCACGTCGGCATTCAGACTCAATCAACCCACATTATTATTGTGTTATGTTGCAAAACAAGAGCGCCCATAGAAATGCAGATGTAAAACATGTGTCCAACACAAGTCTCTTTTTTTTTTGTTCGGCTGAGTCACAACACAAATCAAACAGCTCACTGCTCACACACTGTTGAGTGGAAACACTTTCCCTGTCGGGCAAGCTTTCAAAACGCGCTGCATCATTTGCTTTGACTCCTGCAGCTCCCAGCACCGAAGAATAAAACAGGATTACATCACATTTGTGTTATGTTTTAATGGGTGATTGGAAGACGCAGCAGTAGTCTGCCTCCAGGTGACTGTTTCTAGGTCTGTGCCCAATAAAAGGCAGTTAATGCAAAATGAATAGGATCTTTAATTATTAAAATTTGTTAGGGTAACACTATACTCATTAACCTGTATCTTTTTACCATGTTGTCATGACCCCTACACCTACTACTACTATTATTATTACTACTACTAACAATAGTATTAGTAGTAAGGATAATGATTCAGCACTGTCAGTGTCCCTGTTATTCTGAATTAAAAGTTTACATAGGGAATATGTCTTTAGCAGAAAGAAGTTCCAGTGAAAACAGTGAGGCCCACTCTGTTGGTCTTACGAGCGTTTCCACTGAAAACAGCTGCTTATAAAAAATACCACTAATGAGAGTGGTGAGAGTCAATCACGACTTAGGCTGCGGGCCGTAAAGCCAAAACAATGAGCAGAAAGACGCCATAAAGCGAGTGCAGCGCGGGTAATAATTCTCTGCGTTTGTCACTATGAGGGACCTCTTTCACATTACAGTTAGTTCTTTTGGTGCATTGTTAAGTTAGTTTTTATTATTAGCAGTCTTTCTATAAACTGCACCCCAATGATTAACCTGCAGGTTCCTTTTGCCGTCGGCTGTCCTCTTTACCTGACTGTCCCTCACTGTGTCTGACAACCAATTACTCATGTGTTCAGTGTCTCGCACTAAGGCCACCTGTCACACCCGTGATTTCTTTTTCCCTGTAAATGCCCTGCTGAAATATGGACTTGCCGTTCAATTACCGTGCAATTTACACAGGCTGGCTTGACATTAGAGTACAGAATTGACAGCCAGTGTGTAATAAATAACAGTTGTGCATAAGTGTGCAGCTGCTCTCACTGTATGAGGAGCTCTGATGGAAACAGCACTGATCCGACCTACAGCTCCAACCGCAGTCATACTCCCTCTTTTTGACTTTGACTGAAGCAGACAGAGGCTACACTTATTAAACTGTCACTGTCCAAGTTGTGTGAGTTTTGTCCTGAATGAGGCCAGAAGGGCATGCTTGATAGTTGTTATTATATTCCGCTGCAGTGAGAACACCAAATACATCCAGAAAGCTTGAAATCCTCTGCAGTGCCGACGCTTCAGCCCCTGAGGAGTATGACCGTCCTAGTTTGGAAGCAAGGCTGCCAGTCGTTCTGCAGGAATCTCTCCACCGAGCAGGCAGCCCATTTAGGCTGATTGTTCACTGTGCTGAAGTATGAGTGGCGTGGTGCCTCATTAGGCCCTAAACTCATTAGGTCCTGAATTTGTGGAGATGGATCATGGGCAGAGACCTGCTCGGTCCACTCAGGCAGATTAGCCCAGGGTGGGAGCCATATGTCAGGGCCTCGGGCAGTGTGCCCGTGGCACACCCACCACTGCCATCAGTCTCAGGCCCAGCTCAAGAATAATATAAAGTACAGCTTTAAGTCTTTTAAAAAACATTCTCCCTTCTTCTAGTGCGTTCACGATTTTATTCTCATTTATGCACAACTGGTGAAATTTGGGATGCGTCACCTTAATACTTCCAAATTTACAGATTTTTGGGCTATAAAGAAAAAAACACAACGTAGCGATTCTTTATTTTGTTTCTATAAATGAGGGAAAATGACAATTAACAGGAGTGGACACTAGAGACAGACAGGAAACAAGGTGCAAGAGACACGCAATGACAAGCAACAAATATCCCCAATCAGACTCAAACCTAGCCAACAAGGTACACGATCAGCGCCTTAGGGCCACAAGTGCACCCTTTGATGGAGGACTTTTGAGGGAGAAGTCCAGTTTATTAACATTTTATTACCCTGTTTGTGCAGTTTTATTGCAGAAAATGGGACTGCAGGTTGGGCCCCACATGCCTGCTGTGTGTGTTTGGTAGTTTATGGTTCTCTGTTCATGCTGAGCACACACATACACACTCACTCACTCATGGAAACTCACACACACGCACACACATACTCGCACACGCACATGCACTCGCACACGCACACATATCCCTCCACCCCTGCTGTCTGGTGACCCATTACGGCTGGACATTGGGGACACGCTCAGACAACGCCATATCCCCACACTGTCACGCCAGGCAGAAACACACACACACACACACACACACACACACAAACACAGAGTAAGCCGGACAAAAGGTTCTTTGTGTTGTTTTTGGCGAGTAGCTGCACTGGGGATTCTCCGTTTCTGAGGTCTGGTGCACTGTTTGAAGCTTGGCTGCAGGTCTACAGTTGAACTGTCCATCATGTTCTGGTTTAGTCGTCTGTGTGGGACAGATGCTGGTCTCACTTCTGTGGGCCTTCTTTCTTTACTCGAGCAGTCACACACACTGTCCAAGTTCATTGTATCCGCGTAGACGACAGATGATGTTGTTGCTGGTAGAGGGCCAGAACAGTCCACATTTTCAAGTCCTTGCTAATTGTAAATAGTTAACAGTTTCATCATATTTAATTTTGTCTCAATCATCAACACCAGTTACCTTTTTATATCAGATGTCTTTCAAGCACCCTTTCAGTGACACCATCAGTCATGTTCCAAACCTGCTCATTTGAATGTATTTTAAAGTAGATTTAACAATTGATGATAAAAGTGGATATAATAGTGGATGGTATATTTCTTTCATACAGTTGAACTGTCAGTGGGTAGGCCAGTTTTACCTTGAGCTAACTGTGTCAACTTCTCCACTCACTGGCTGACTAGTGTTCTTGCATTTGTAATCCTAACATGTGGCTGACTATGTCTCTCTCGCTCTGCATGTTCAGATACTACAGGGGAACGCATGGGGTCATAGTGGTATACGACGTCACGAGTGCAGAGTCCTTCGTCAACGTCAAACGATGGCTACATGAAATCAACCAGAACTGTGATGATGTGTGCCGAATATTAGGTGAGTGTGCACCTTTTACTTTTCCAGAGGAATTCAAGGGACTGCTGTCACCTTGGTATCCTTTACCTAAAAATAGACTCTATCCTTGAATCTAGTGCACACCTATTTTGTTTGCAGGCAGTGTGAAGATTTTTTCCTTGCTTTTTTTGACTCGTGTCACCATGGCAATATTTCTTGTTTTCAGTGGGAAACAAAAACGACGACCCCAACTCCAAGGTGGTCGAGACGACTGACGCGCAGAAGTTTGCCGAGCAGATGGGAATCAACCTGTTTGAGACGAGTGCAAAAGAGAACATCAATGTTGAAGAGGTAACTCATTGTAACTGTTGTCTCGGACTGTTTGCAGACTGATGTGTTTGTGTAGAGAGGTTTCCGGGTAATGCTCGGTATGCAGAGCAGCTCAGCTGAAGGCTTGAATTAGGCAGCATGTCTGAAAATGTTATAATACCTGCTGATCAGCAGGATGCCTCAGTGTGCTGCATGAGCAGTGTCTTATTGTACAAACCATTCCTTAAAGCAGTGGTCTCAAAGTCAGATTGGCTCAGGGTCACTGCTGGTATTGTCATCTCATAGGAGGGCCACATGAACGTTCAAGTTGTACAAGAAAGTGCAATATTCTGAAAATGTTTCCATTACTAACATCATACTTAGCAAAAATACTTAAAAAAATCTTTATTTTAACTGTTTATAAGTAGTTGTATGTAGTTTAAATTGATATGAACTATACAAAACAAACAAACATGTACAAAGGGTCCTTGCTGCGGCAGCCATGGGTTTGAATCCGACCCGTTCATTATTTTAAACCAAAAATAGTAATAAACTTGCCGGGCCAAAGGGAGGGGGATGGAGGGCCAGAAATGACCCCTGGACTGGCAGTTTGAGATCCCTGCCTTAAAGGAATAGCTTTTTGGGAAATACACTTTAGAGCTGCAACTAATGATTATAATTATCAGTGACTCTACTGATTATTTTCTTGTTTTATAAAATACAAAAAAAATGACATCACTACTCTAGGCCAAGAAATAGTCCAGCACATAACACCCAGTAAAACCTCAAATATGTTTTGCTCTTCGGTTCTTGTTTGTAATATAGGTGTAAAGTATTAATTGGCAGCTTTAGAGAAGGCATATTCGTATTTTACCTCCGGACAGAGCCAGGCTAGCTGTTTCCCCCTTTTCCCAGCCTTTATAGTAAGCTAAGCTAAGCAGCTGACAGCTGTAGCTTCAAGTAGAATGGACAGATATTTGAGGTGTATCAACCGTCTCATCTAACTCTGAGCAACAATAAACATATTTCCCAAACTGTTCCTTTAATGCTATGGAAATACGAGAATAAACTCTATATTTCAAACATATTTCATCCACAGGTGGTTTTTCATCAAAGTGCTCTCTTCCTACAGTCTGCATACTTTTCACAAACATACATAAACTGCTGTGTTTGACTGTCATCGGTTTGTGCTCTCCCTGCAGATGTTCAACTGCATCACAGAGCTAGTGCTAAGAGCCAAGAAGGAGGTGCTAGCCAAACAGCAGCAGCAGCAACAGAACGACGTGGTCAAACTCAGCCGGAACAGTAAACGAAAGAAAAAGTGCTGCTAGCAAACTCGAAGCCATCCGCAAAAGGCCCACGGCGTCTTTTCTTCACACACGCATACACACAAGATGGGACTCAGAGCATCTAAATTAAAGAGCAGATAAAGATTTAATAAATATACAGTGAAAGATTAAAAAAAAATAAATGGAAAAAATGTCCCCTTTGGACAAATTAATCATGAAGACTTAAAAAGAAAAATGTACAGATTTTATTAGATGTCAGATCAAGTTTTATTTGGAATTCAGCAGATGGGCACTTATTGACCTGAGGTCCTCCTTTCTTAAAGGATCTGCAAGCTGATAACTGACCGCCATAATGATTTATATCCACATATTCCCCATGTTCTTCCATCAGTATCTCATCTCTCCTTCTCATTCCAATGCACACGGGACATTCAGAGTCAGCTCAGACTCTGCGCCTGAGGAGAAGGAGGGCTCACCTGTCTCTGGATTTATTTGTTTCTTTCTAGTTTTACTTTTGGGGGGCTGGGAGGGGGAGTTTTTTGGGGGTTTTCTTTTTTTTTCTTTTTCTTTTTTTTGGAACGGGTGTTTCAGACACCTGTGTTACCATGGCTCACACCCAGAAATCATGAACTGCTAGATTTTGTTTTATTTGACTTGATGGGGGGGATCACACGGAGGAGGATGATGATGATGATGATTGGTAGACGACCTTTAGCAACTAATCCGATGGACAGAACTGGTGACTTCTCATGTTTTGTTTCTCTTTGTCTATATTTTGCCAAGCTTCCTACCCTCTACCCTCTAACCTCCAGTAGTGCTGAGCCAACGATAATTGATTTTATGTTTTCCTTTTTTTTTGTTTTGTCTTTTAAAGTGGGGCAGAGCAGTTGAACCACCCCTGGAGCTCTGGGACATCAGGCTCTGAAAGCACCGTTCACTGCAGTCTTACTACGCTTTCAGAGTTCGCTTTTTAAACCTTTTCCTCCATCTTTTTTTTTCTTTTCTTTTTTTTTTAAACAATGATACTGCCAACATTATAGAAAAAAAAAAAAATTAAGAGCTCAGTGGCGCCTCTCATTGGACTGTTGCCATAGTGGCCCCTGGTTGACCAAGAAGCCAAGTGAATCAGGGCCTGATGAGTCCTCAGGAAGCGCTCAGGGCTGCCCTCCTTCCCTCTCATTCCCCTCTGTATTTCTGCAGCCACTGGCCTTCATTCCCCCACCCCCCACCCGGACGCCCACATATCAGCACCTCTCACTTTGGTCCATCGGTGTGCACGGGGAGACTCTGACTGTGGAAACTGGCTTCTTGTAGTCGTTGACCTCCAATCCATTGCAGACTGTGGTTTTTGCCCTTGTGTTTGAGCATGTAACACTTTGTTTGAAGGGGTATGTAAAAGGTAACATGCATTTAGACTGTGGAGGATTTACTGTATTTTCTCAGCTTGCAGAATATTCTTAACAGTTGACTAATGTTAAAATCTGATGTCATGTTTTTCTTTGCTCTTCTCCGTCACAACCCCCAGCGCTACCTGTTCAATTGAAGTGTTACCGCACAGTGTTTTTGGCATCCATGATGAGTGTGTGGCAGACAGTGGGACTGTTAATTAAGAACAAACGGGGATGAACTGCAGCACTGGATCCCAGTGTGTTCGGGCCTGAGCTCCTCTCCCTCTCCATATCCAGGGTTTGTCACAGAGGCCGAAGCAGCGACAGCGTCTATCACTGACATATTTGTTTGTTTATTTTGAATTGGGAGATAGTAAAAGGAGAGAGCTGTAAGCTTCTGTCGGAAACATTCAGTTTTTTGTCCTCTGGGCAGACTCTGGCAGCCGATTTGGGATCCTGATACACGTCGAGAGGTCACTGTGACCTCAGGGCCTAGGAATGGTATCAAATCTCTCACTTTATGATTTCTACTCATTACGTGTATGTATATATAAATATATTTGTGTGTTTATATTCAATATAGAACATACACACATAATTAGCACACCAAACTGTGCATGTGTTAAACATGCCCCATGTGCTAAGGTGGAAACACACTCGTCAGCTGTGGTTTGCTGTACACTGGAGAAAAAGAGATGTATCATTTTTCCCTACATGAATTTAATCAGTAATAAACGTTTTAAAGGAATAAATATTTGACACATAATGACTTATCTCATTTGTCACTTAGCTTAAGTTCATTTTAAACCTGTGTCTTTTTATTTTTTTTGCTTTCTGTGAATAAAATTGTATGAGAGGATGTGTGCACTGGTCTTTGGGAAGCCTCTTGCTACTATCTGTCTCTGTTCATACGCCAGGAGTTTATCATGTTTCATCAGAATTTCCCATAAGCAGCGACAAGTTTTTAAAAAGAAACTCATGACAATTGCAGGCTGCTTTTGTTTTTCATTGCTATCGTCAGTTATTAGCTGTCAGGGGAGTAAATGTGAACATTTTCCACACACCATTGGAACTTCATACCTGGTTTGTTAGTTGATGAAAAGGGGCGGGGGATTTCATATTGTCAAAGCAAAACAATACTTCTTATATCTGTAGTTTGGGGAAATAACATGTTGAGGAGACACACATGACTAACTAGAAATGTCGAGTTGGACAGACCTTTTTCACAGCAGACATTTTGACTTGACAGGTGTAACTAATGGCATGAAGTGCTGCATTGCTGCAGTACTCGCTGGAGCAGAGCGATCAGTAATGTTATTAGTTCCACCTGTGAGTTTCCTCCAATGACAAATCCAAATGTCTGCTGTGAGAAATGCCTATAAATGATTCATTTGGGAACAAAAAGAAACAATTGTGAAAAGCAATCTGTATTCTTTACAGTATAATGTTAATTCCGTGCTTGTGCTTATCTAGAACACAGGTGTAAAGACAGAAACGTTGTGATCAAAATAATATGTGATCAATGAGAAATATGACTAATCCAAACTTTTATATACTCAATGCAACAGACACATTTTGGCCAGTGTTCACAGAGTACTGAGGCTGGATTCTGCGTTGTAAGTCTGGTAGCTGCAGAGACCGCTGCATTTATATCCACCCCCTGCAGCCATTCCCTTGAAAAGCAATATAAACCAAGCTCAGAGTCTACAGCCATGCAAACAGCTCAGTGAGACTGTACCAAGACACAGTTCTGTGCGCTAGATGCTAACATGCTTATAATGGCAATGGCAACATGCTGGTGTTTAGCATGTGATGCTGATGTGTGTTTGCTATAAAGCAAATTATTGAGCAAATATAAGGAAGGGGAAACATGAATGTGTGTACCAAATCCCATGGCAATATAGATATTTAACTTAAAACCCAACGTCATGGTGGCACTAGAGCAGATCATCAAAGTCAAATTTTGTGCCAGTCCATCTAGTAGAGAAATATTTCACAGGATAAGAGAAAACTTAGCAGCCAGAGGGTCGCAGTCATTACGGCACAGTGGATATCTGCACCAAACTGCCTGCCAATTAATCTGGTAGTTGTTGGAGCTATTTCAGTCTGACCAAAGAACCACACAGCTAGCATGGTTACTAAAGCAGTGTATTGATTTCATCTAAACTAGGGTTGAGCGAGTACTCGGCTGAAGCGAGTATCCAGTACAGATAAGTTACTTTTGACGAGTAAAATGTGCCGATATCAAACCCTATCAATTTCTTGTCTAAATGAACAAATTCTGGTTAACCACCCACTTCCGTTTAAGCTCCGCCCACATTTGGCTTAATTCTGAGTACAAATACAGATTATTAAACTGGTTGGACAGATACAGATGATGGTGTACTCGCTCATCCTTTATCCAAACCTATTTGACTTTTATAATATCATTCTTTATCTTGATCTGAAGACATATATAAGACGATATGTGTGCCCATGATGCTGTCATATTATTGGTCTGAGCTTCTTCCTGCTGCAACATATATTTAATTTCATAAAACTTTTGTTTGGTCCCTTCTCCCTGCTGTCGTTTTATTCTTTGCAGATGATGCCATTCTCATATAGCAGAAAGCGTCATTGGCTTATTTACGTGTCTGACTGTGAGAACCACAGAAGAAAAAGCGTCTGTATTTCAAGACTGAGTCAGGTGAGACAAACAGATTGTAAAGTATTTATTTGTACAAAAAAATCCCCAAAATGCTAAGAAAATTGCATGATAAATATTTTGAATAGTTTGAAGCATTCTGTAACTGAAACAGTGCCGTTAGTCAGTGGTGAATGGAAGCACTCACACGGAGCACAATGAGCCCACCAAAAGCACTAAATTCCAATACAACGTCCGACCAAGTGGAGACAGAAAAACACTCAATGGCATGTCTGTCTGTCACTGCAACACACCCCGGACCCACAGCGGCAGCATCAGGATGTTTACCACAGAAACACGCAGCAGAAGGCGTTTTTAAAATGCTTTCAATTAGTAAATGAATCAGTACAGCCGACTGTGACAGTCTTAAACAATACAAACAGTCAAACAAGAAACAGAAACAACAATTAGGAAATAACGTGGACAGAACCAAATGTGTTACAGTGAACTGTTTCTAACAAAAATGTGACATGAAGTGAGACAAGTTACAGTGTGGTTATGGCAGCAGTGACTGGGGTTTAATCCAAGCTTTTGCTCACCTGTCAGTCAGCCAGTGGAAGGGAACCTATAAACACATGGATGTGAAGGTTCAGATATCCAATCCACCCACTTTCACACTTTCCATTTATTTCTGCCTGGGGGAGGAACATGTTTCTCATCACGAGCCTTCAGACAGGAGCAGTGAGAGAACTTTCTGATAAGGAATCCTATATGCAGAGTTTTTAATGGCTGAATTAATGGTTAATAAATCATGAGCTAATGCCTGGACCCTGCTGCAGTTAGATCTAAAAGGGAGAAATTTGCGGTCTGCAGAAAGTGGATGCCTCTCTCCTCTGGCTACCAATGTTTTGATGTAATTTACAATCTTAATGTTTTGGCCTCATTACATCTTTTTGGGGATTGGTCATAGTTGTTTTATAGTGTTACATACATTTTGGGTTGTTTTGTCATCTACAGTATCTTGCTTCTCTGTTCATGCTGCCAGGACACATTTTTTCAATGAGGCTTTCTTGGCTAAATAAAAAATAATGTACATTTTGGGTTTCCAAGTTGTGAAACTCTATGATATGGTATTTATCCGATCTTTTTAGCTCTCAGGAAGACTTAACCAAGGAATGGTTTGACCTTGGACCTTCTGGAAAAGGACTGCAGAGTATTAGGACCAAAATAAGTTTATTAACAAATGATTATATTTACAGATGACTTACTAACTGTTGCTGTTGTTGGTTCATTACAAAGTGAGAAGCTCTTGGCTCTTTGTTAATGATTTATTAACATTTATAACTGCAGACTTAGCGCTTAATGGCCTTTATTGTTACCTATTAAAGGAATAGTTTGACATTTTGGAGAAATTCATTCATTCGTTCTTAATGATGGAGAATTAGATGAGAAGATCACCCGGCTAGCTTCTGGATGTAGCTTCATACATAACGGATAGACCTGACAGTAGTATTACTCTTCTCATCTAACTCTCTGCTGGAAAGCAAAGAATATTCTCTAAAATGTCCAACTATTGCTTTGATGACTTTCCCCTAATAATGACTCGACAGACAGAGAGATTTCACAACCTGGCAACACCAAGGTTTTTCTAATGAAGGACTTATATAAGATCTATTAAGCATTAGTGAAAAAAATATTAACAATTAAAAAATGAATTAGATACAATTTGTAAAGTCTTTATAAAGGGCGCCATTTATGACGCACTCTTGGATTAATAATAGAGATTCATGAGGCTTCTTGGTATCTTTTCTGATAAGTTACGCATTATATTGGTGAATAATTTGGGTGAAACTCAGAAATACTCATGAATCTCTGGCCAGCTCTACTGCATGCCACACCCGCACAGTCAAATAAACGTACTTATGAGTGATAACGTCCAAACTCACCAGTGGAATTCCTGCTCGCTGTTAGGACACACATGAAAAAAAACAATCTAGAAATAACAATGAACAGGTATATTTCTCTCTAAAAAAAGATTTTCATTCAAAAGGTATGCATTTTTTTTCTTATAAATATATTGATTTCGTCCAAACCTATTCGACTTTTTATAAAAATCATTCTTTGGGTTGATCCTGCTCAACAACCAGCTGGGACGACAAGAAGACACCTGCATAGGTTTGCACAGCTGCATTAGACGTGAGTACAAACACAGACAGACGTGAGACATCACCGTGCCACACTGTAAGTCATTCATGCTCGGAGATTTCAAGTCAATACACACTGTATTACAAATGGAGTCACAGATATGTCATCTAAAACGGAAGCCCGGCAGCTAAGAAATCAAAGTGCCCATGAAGTATTGAAGCAATGAGAATGGAGGTAGACCTTTTCTATTAGTGTTAAACCAAAGCAGGTCAGATGTTGACCACTGCAGAGGAAGTTCAGTGGAGTTTCTGTACACCGACATGCCTTTTAATGATAGGAAATTCAACGGGTTATTGTAGAGTTGATGTGAATTCTACGTAGTCCTTCCTCCTTCCCAAGCTGATGTAAACATTTCGAAAATTTGGTCAACTAGGAAGATGATTGACATCGTGGGGACAATGTTGGGACAGTGCCTTTTTGATAAATGTTATAAATATTAAAATTTTATGTGAACTGTGGATGAATGTTACCAACTGAACAAACAATATCACCAACTTCAGTCAGCCAAAGGTTTATTCAGATGCTGGAGACGAACACAAAGGCCTCATAGAGTTCACCACAGAGAGGGCCGACTAGAAAGTGCTGTGTTTTACATTCACTCAATTTAAGGATCATCTTGCCCTGCTCAAGCTTGTTTCTGTTTTACTTCAGTATGATACATGAAACCTAACCGTGTCATCACTTTTGGGGACACAAAGGAGTCCAATTTGAAATCCAACTGATTCAGTTTAAATCAGTTTACTAGTAATGGGAGGGCTCCTCGGCATGTAAAATCAGTTGTTTCATTTCTTCTGTGGGTTTGTAAAGTCGAAGAAAAAAACAACCTGTGGTGATACCATCAGGGTAATCCCAACATGGGCTAGGAAACAAATTTATAAACTTGTGTTACAAACTGGGCTTGAGGAATATGAAGGATGTGGACGTTTACTAAGCTGGAAGGATCTATTGAAAAGAGTGTTTGTTGCATTATGGGAAATGTAGGATCCAGTGGTTTTGGAAGTTGATATTGGGGCCTAAAAGTCAGGATATACTGGCTCCTGCTGCTTTAAGTTTGAACAATCTTTTTTTTAAAGCTTTGTTAATTGATTTTTTGTGAGCTCTAAACACAGCACATGCATGTGCAAGTTGCTTAGCAAGTGTTAGCAAACAATTGTTCACAGGCCAATATTCACTTTCCTTCTCACTCTTTTTGTTTTTATCTCTATCCAACTCCCGAGAGGAATGTCCGGCTCTCTTTTAGCTGCTAATAGCTCTGCTGTGTTCACCAGCTAGATGCTAACGTTGTCTGTCCACCCTTTGGTACTCAGCAGAAGCAGTAGAATACAAGGAGAGCAGTGAAGTCAGAACAGTAAAGGTGCGGGCTGTAAAAATTCAAAACAATGAGCTAAAAAAGGAAGCTAAAACACTGCATAGAGTTGGGTTATAATTCCCTGTTTGGCTATGAGAGACTCCTTTCATATGAAACATTTACTTTATCTTTATATAAAAATATTGATTAGTGCAGCTTTAATATATATAGATATATATGTACTGTATAAATAGTGAATCCCCTAACTTGATGAAAGTGCAATGCTAAATCAGTGGAGTATCGCCCACTTTAGGTCTTTTTCTCTTTTTGATTGTAAGTTTGGGCTTGGGGTAAAAATGAAGAACCTCCACGCCTATCAGTAAGAAAATAAGCATTCTTCTTGTCATTTGTTTTTTTCAGATATACAGCACACTGTGGGCCTCCTACATCATGTGGTTGCCTCGTGTTGTGAACGACTCCTGAACAAATGAATAAACCTGAGAGATAACACATGGGCTGGCTGCAGCATCACCGCTCTGTACCCGGAGGAGGGTTGCCATGCTGCTATGTCTGACGTAGAGCTCTGTCCTGCTATCCTCGTCTTTTTCCCACAATCCTACAGTGTCCCATACATACACCTGTCTTTCCCCAGACTCCTTGGCCTGATAACTGGGATGCATACAGTTTGTACATAATGTTCCCTCTCTACAGAGTTGGCAGTGGGCTAGTAGAGATGGTTGTAGGCACTACAAGGAAACCTTCCTCTTTGGAGGTAAACTTTGTGACCCTGTTCACATTCTGTAAGACTGATAGCTTTCTATAAGAAGGGCTGAAGCCAAAGCCCCTGGGGAAGTCCTATTCTTATATTTCTATCTCTCATTGTCAGCAGTCACCAATGAATCAGTGAAGAGAAGAGTAATGGGACAGATAAAGTGCAAAATGATACCCCCCCTCAAAAAACCTCAGTGTATGCCACTGCCCGTCTTTGGATGCTGTTACCCCCTGTAACTGTGATGTCACTCCCTCCGTCTCCCTCGCCTCGTCTGTCTCTGTCTGTCTGCCATGCTCAGGGCCAGTCCAATGGGCCTCAGCTCTTTTTGAAAAAAGAGAAAAGTCTCTTGTCCCGGTCGGAGATACGGTGAGCTCGTCTGGAGGACGTACCGCCGTGGGCCCTCGACGACCCCGACAGGGAGGAAGGGGCCGAGCGCCACTCATCCTGGTACTTGTCCATCAACTGCTGGTCAATCACTCTGTGCATATCATCCTAAAGCCAAGGAAGAAGTGAATGAGAAGAGAAAGACAGGAGAGAAATGTCACACAGACGGGACATATGGAGGAGTGTTACAGGAAGTTCTGGAGAGGTCGGACTTGTTGATCAAGTTACCTGTTAGATATTGATTACAGAGACACCACAATCACCTTTCATCCTTGTTAGTTCACTTCAGTTTTTCTCCTAGAGCTGGATGTTTGATCTTCACTGTGCAGAATGATGTCTGTGCAGAGTTTGACACTAGAAGGATGTTTTCACATTCATCTGCTGAAAGTGGAAAGTTTCTCTTCGCTCACTGAAAATCTGATTTTAAGGGGCGGGGACTACCAGCATGATTTGTGACATCACTAATAGTTTGAAAGTCAGTCCTGGTCCAGTATCAACTTGTACAGTGTGATGTAGAAACTTGAAGCCACCAGTGCACATCCACTGAGAATGGACTTTACAGTGAAGTAGGAGACATCTTGTGTCCAGCAGCAAAACTTTAGAAATTAACAAAATTTGCATATTCATAGATTGTAAATGAAGTAAATGCCTTTTATGGGTTTTTTTAATGTACTTTTATGTGCAAACAACATACCAGACACACATTATTGTCCAAGCAGACTATTTGTACATATGTCTTAATGTATGTCTGGAGGGGATCTTTAATATCTCTCAAAAAATAGTAAGTGATCATAAATGACACGCAGCCCAGAGTATGTACTATGACCATGGCCAGATTAACCTACCAAGGGGCTCCAGGGCAAAATGTTTTGCTAGATTAACCCCTGTTCCACACACTTTCTGTACAATGTATAAAGTTTTTCTTCAATGTCACCTGGCCAGGTTTGCTGTGTGTTAATAATTAGATCTAAAAATTGTATTTTCACACGCATATATGATGTTGCTTCATACTGTGCTTTAGTGGTAAATGGACTACATTTATATAGCACTGTTTTTTCCAAAGCTCTTTACAATTTGCCTCTAATTCACACACAAATCTCTTTCAAGGAAAATGGCTTCAGGTTGTTCAAATAGTCCCCATATATTTCTAGATGCCACCATCTTCTAAGTCAGTGATTCCCAAACGTTTGTGACGCCTTCAGCGTTTTTGTGGTATACGTCTACGTGTGGTGAAGAGTTAGTGAAAGAGTCATTTTTCCACTCAGATTTCAATTGATTCGAATAGCTTTTAGAGGCCTGCCTGAGGAGGTAAAAGTATTAGCAATAAAATACAAACATTAGAGCAAAGTCCAAAAAAGTCATGACTGCTGAGATAAACTTTTAGTTGACCACTGCTCTGAATTGCAACCAAATACTTTGAGTTAACCAATGGATGGAGGTTTGTCGTTGGTAGTTCTTGAGAGCTGAGGCCACCAGGGGGCCCTGATAAGCCACAATTGTAATGGGAGACTAAAAACTAGTACTTAGTATAAGACTACTTTTTATTAGTAAAAGATTAGCCTTTTTACTTTAGATGTCAGCTTATATCACAGAGCAGCGTAAATATCCATGCACCACCAAGCTATAAGGATCTACTGGGGACGAAGGTGTTTTTGGTGTCTGTGTTCTCATCTCTCAGCAGGTAAACTGAAAAGTGGACCAATCTCCTAAAACCATTCCTTTAGGGGGTACAGGTGTATGGAGAGAGGAGACAGAGGCTGGTGGAGAGAGAGGGTGGGGGGTTTGGATGGTTCTCTGTGGTGATTAATGGTTTCAGAGAGAAAGCGGAGCGGGGATGGGCGTGTCTACTGAATCAACCTTGGCATGGAATGGCTCAGCATGGCGTAGTCGGTTTAGTGCAGGGTGAAAACGGAGAGATGGTGTGGTTCGGGCTCACCTCTAAGGCAGGAGGGGGGGGTACCACAGGGGAGAAAGGGTGGTACGGAAGCTGAGAAAGGCCACTAGATCAGAAACCACAAGAGCCAAACAGTAAAGAGCCCTGAGGAGGCAAACTGTGGGCAGGGAGAAGAGAGAGGAAAGAGCTGCTAGTTACAGGTGAGGGAGGGGAGGGAGGGAACACACGCACACACACACACACACACACACACACACACACACACACACACACACACACACGCACACACACATGCACACACATGCACACACACACACTGTGTCCTCAGGCTACATATGTAATATGTTTCCTTATTGACACCCATCAGACAGGCAACTGACATACACCCTCAGAAGTTAATTGAGTGGTTTAGTGTATGTGCACAGATTAAAATAGACTGACACTAAACACAAGTTACAGGGAAGGGAAGGACAATGGACACACTGCTCTAGAAGTTAGTGTCATTTTATTCTTCATATCAAATAATAGGCTGCTCACTAATTTCATCTAAAGTTGGATGAAATCAGACGGAGCAGAGCAGCTTTATTTATGTAACAACATTCCAAAATATTACAAAATGACTATTAGGCTTTTACTTTTATATTTATATTTATACATTGTGATCTTTGACCCACCTGCCAAGCCTCCAGCTGCTGCGACAGGTTGAGCTTCTGCTGGATGGCGTCCAGGAGCTGGCTGTTCAGAGACATGATGTCTATTTTACATTTGGCCAGCTCCATCTCCACCGCTTTCTTCCTGCAAGACACACAGACCAGGCCCTAAATAAACTCCACCCTCAACTCCCTTACATGGTGACAAATGTAGAGTAATTCTTAAAAAGGAATAGTTCAACATTTTGTTAAACACACTTATTCAATTTCTCTCTGAGAGTTAGATGGGAGGGTTGATAAAAATCTCATGTCTGTGTGGTATATATAAGGCAACAGTCAGCAGCCAGTTAGCTCAGCACACAGACTGGAAATGTGGAGAAAGGCTAGCCTGTATCTGTCCAATGGTAACTAAGTCAACCTACCAGCACCTTATGATGGCAACAAGACTCCAGAAAGTCACTCCCAACCACAAATAGTCTGGCAAATGGCTGTTTCTCCCAGCTTACAGTCTATAAGCTAATCTAAGGTAACCGGCTGCTGGTCATAGCTTCATATTTAATGGCTAACTCTCCCCGAAAAAACTATTCTAGTCAAACTATTCCTTTAAGCAAGAGCAGAGAATGACACCATCTAAAGGACCAAAATGGGCAAATTCAAAGGACAATTCTGGATCTTTACAAGTTGTTATTCTCATCTTATGTTGGCCATCATTTCTATCAATTATGATTACATTAAAGTAATATCTGATAACTGGGAACATAGCAACATTGCTACAGTGAAGTCAGGAACACAAGCTGCCTTCTTGACTCGTCAAACTGGAATTGACATTATATTGATGTAATCGTACTTGGCTATGGCGTCGTCTCTGTCTCTTATAGCACTCTGGAGCTGCTCGCTGGGTTCTCGGATTTCAGCCATCATCTTCATCCGCTCGTTCTCCTCCCGGAGAGAGCACATCTCTACAGAGAGCAGCGCCATCTGAAGGTCACATTGGAGAAAGAAACAGATGTGTGAGTTGCTGGTCTCAAATTCAACACAACATTCAGTCTCTAATGTCACAATATACCGACTGAAACTGATGTTTGGTTGATCCAGTTCGACAGGAAAATAACTCTGTGTGTGTGTGTGTGTGTGTGTGTGTGTGTGTGTGTGTGTGTGTGTGTGTGTGTTTTTGTGTTTGTGTTTGAGCTAATTTTGTGTAAATCATGTAAGATGCCATTTCACCCACAGGAAAGAGAGAGAGAGAGAGAGAGAGAGAGAGAGAGAGAGAGAGAGAGAGAGCTGTCCTGGCAGAAAGAAGACAAGGTTGAAGCGATGTCCTACATTATAAACAACATACATCAAGTTCACACTGGCACACAAACTGGTGAGGACTACATCTGCAGCACTGACAGTGTAAATGTTATTTTTAGAAATGAGCAATGTTATTCCACCAAGAAATCCTGGATGTGATGTTAAATTAATAAGGGCTGTCTGACACTTTCTTTTCGCACAGTTAGCAGCAGAGCCTCGCTGTGAAGATTTCTGCTCACGCTTTAACCTGATCTCTTGTGTGTCACTGATGTGCACATACATATCATGTGTATGCATGACATATACAGTGATGTCACTGAAGCCGGTACCTGATTGTGCAGCTGTAGCACCTCCTCTTCACTGCTGCGTGCTTTGTCCTGCTCAGACTCGTATAGCACTCTGACTTCCCTCAGCTCCTCTCCCAGCTTCCTCGCCTGCTCCTCCAGAGCCTCCTCATCACTGCGCCGCGAGCCCTTTCAACACACAACACACACCGTTTCACAACACACACTCACGGTACGTATATATGCTGTTACCACCCACAGTTTATTATTGTAAAATAGGCCTACAGAGGAAGTATTGTTAAGTTAGCTGTATTTAAAACTCTTTGGTAACACTTTAATTTACGGGTCCCAGAGGTTCCTAATAATTTTCTAGAAAGGAATTGATATGTAAGTATAAATTCCTTCAGAGGATTATGTGATTTCAAATTAATTACATGGAAAATGATTCAATGAAAAATAATTGCTCTGTAACCTATAGAGTCTTTCAGTTAGTGCACAGCAGGTCAGCTGAATGTGCAAAAAGGTCAAATGGGTTCACAGGCAAGCATACAAATCCACAAATATGGAGAATGACGATGCAATAATAAAAGTATATTTACTTTGGTTAACATGCGTTTCCTGTCAATATGATTTAAGCTCCTCTTAACTAAGTAACTATAGCTTCATGAGAGTTTTATATACAATAATAACCAACATTGCTGAGTTAACAGAAACAGTATTGCTAGTAGTTTAACTGTCACTGATTTATGATTCTTGATAGCTGCTGATAGAGGTGTGGTATGATGACAAACATTATGCCAAAGTAACTTATTACTCAATACACAGGTCAGATCCTACTTCAGTTGTGTTAGGGGCTTACTGTATCTTCATTATGTATCATTTTATCATTTTTCAGTTCATCTGTATACCTGTCCATTTAATTTACAAAACAACAGACAGATACTATATCATAGTACTACTATATAATTTCCTGGTTCTCTCTTAAAAACAAAAAAAAACGAGTGGCTGCTTACTACAGTGTCTAGAACCATTGCCTCTACCTATAAGAAAAACAAATGATCAGTTTGTCCAGGGAAATGATTAGGACATTACCTCATTTAAAAAAGAATATAGGCTATTGTGTGACTAGCTGTCAGTGTGTTGTTCAATACCGTAGACTCGTTGCCATCCAGCAGATTCTGCGTTAGCCTCCGTAGTTCTAGCAGGCTGGTGTGGAGGCTCCCTGTAGGCACATCCTTGGCTGAGGACGTCTCCGAGGATTCGTCCATGGAAGAGTCAGTGGACAGCGCCGAGTCTGTGACGTCGTTTCCCCGGAGATGGGAGCAGAGTGAGCGGACTTCACAGTAAGCCTCCCACAGCTGAATACGCAGCTAAACAAAGCAAGGAGGGGGGGAGAGTGTTTGGAAAAAGCAGTGAGCAAAGTCATTTGACAGTGATTTTAGTGGTTTTTGCAATCAAACACAATGCTGCGGTTGCTACCTGCTCTCTCTCCTGCTCCTGCTCCTCCTGCTCCATGCTCTGTTCTATCTCACACAGGAGGCTGGACGGGTGCGGGGTGAGGCTTTGGAGGCTGTGCTCGTCCGTCAGCTCCTCCAGCCGGGCAGTCAGCTGCCGGTGGGACATCTGTACCTCCTGGAGCTCCAGCTGGCTCTGCCGTAACTAAATACAACAGAGGAGGCAACATTTGGGACTTAACAGTACGAATTATACAGTTTATGTATGTATTTATTGTAATTGTTTATTTGATAGTGACAGAGCATGTTAATGAACATAGAGTTTGGATGGGTCAGTCAACTACTTCAAGGCGAAATTGTAGTGCGTTTACACAAAAACATCTCTGTAGAAGATCATTGTAGCTACTCCTCAAAGATCTGAGATCTAAAAGTCCTTCATTCAAGTGTCTGTACCTGTAGATCCTTCTCGTGACTCTGCCTCTCCAACACTAGCGTCCTCTCTCTGAGGTCCTCCACTGTATTCTGCAGCAACTCGTTCTCCTCCAGCATGGCGTGCACCCGACGTTCCAGCTCCATCTTCCTCTCCGACAGCATCTTAATCTAACATGTTAAACAGCACCAGTTAGTTACCCCGCCACAGAAAATAGGCATTCATTGGAATAACTGAGGATCGTTCAGATTTCCTGGTCAATAGCAGACAGATGGGCAGCTATGGACCTGATTAAAGGCTAAATTTTGTTGTTTTGCTTAGTCTGAGGCAAGCCGGGCTCTTACACAAGATTAAAAAGTACTCCCACTGGCCTTAAGAATGTGTGTTGCCTAGCACGGGCGTAGGCGTTAGTTGCCACCCTCGTCTTCAGGAATGTTTTGGTGATATGGTAGCGTCTCCACAATCATTACTCCTTACCATGCATGTGCAACGGGCCTTCTACTGAAGGTTAGCATCACAGCAATGCCACATATTCCTCATGAATTGTTTCCCCTTGTATCTGCCTGAGCAGCTTTCCCCATTAAACAAACATCAGTTCATTTTTATCCCTCCTGCTTTTGACCTACATCTGGTAACCTACTTCACAGTGCAAGAGCTTACATGTGGATCAGTTGTTTTCGCTACCATAAGAGCATCCACATTGCCAGGTTCTGGATATTTTGGGGCTGCTAGTCTGTCCTCATACAAATAGGGCAAAAAGCCATTAGTCATCAGCACATGTCATATGAAGGCAAAGCGTTAGAAAAGTGGGAGCACCCAGACATTGCAGTATCTCAGCTAAATATAGAGCGGTAGCATTTTCTCCCAATTATAGCGCAGGCTCTGCAGTCTGGGTGTTTTCTGCCTGTCTTTGAAGAGAAGCTACGGGGAAATCTGAATTGTTGTTATGTTCCAACAGTACCTTTGTACATGATATATCTGGCTGATATCATACATGACACAACTGACATCACAAAAAACATCATGCTACGACAACCAAGCATGTTTTTCATGCTCGATCTCAGGAAACAGGGATTGCCATAAGGATGTGGAAATGTCAAACAGGGATTGGACATAAATGTAAGATGGTATGGTTTTATGGTTATACAGTATGAGGTTAAATGAGTCTATATTTCATTCAACATGAGATTCAATAATCTACCCCATGAAATAATAGTACTTTGCCCCTATATCCCATTTAATTGGACAGAGGAGAAGCCATTGTAAATTCAAAGGAACATAATGGTGCAATCCTTGTTTCTTATATTTCACAAGGCGTTACATGCAGCATGCACTCTGGCTGACAGACAGCGTCCGGTTACCACTCACTTCTAGCCCTTGCTGCTCCGACCAAGAGGAAAGGAGGGTGAGGGAAAGAGGAATGGGTGAGGAGAGAGATATAGATAAAGATTACAGAAATAGAGGAAAGAATTTGAGAGAAATCCGTCAGAAACTGCCCTGACAGAATAAAGACTTGCTGGAGATGCTGCTGGCACGGTAGGTGAACACCACCCTCCTCTGAAAGGTTGAAAGCACTGTTTCTCTTCAGTGGGATCCACTCCAAATTTATTCCATTTATTTTCACCAAAGGCTCCAACTTTAAAGCAAGACTGTGTAACTTTTGCTGAAGACTAGCCGCTGTGACCACAAATGGTAACTGCATGATAATGTGTGTGTTTATATCTTCTTTTACTATTGAAATCACTATCTGTAACATACTAAACTGCCGTGGTAAACTCAGTTACACAGCAATATTTATCTAAAATTAGCCACCATTAGCTACTGGTCATACATAGAGTGTATTGAATTGAAAAATGGTGTGTCTTATTGCTACTGAATTAAACTGTTAATTTGTATAAGGAATATATGATTTCTTCTTTTAAAAATTAAAGTCTCACTTTAACTTCCCTTGGGATCTGCTCTCACCTTAAGTACTCAGGCTTTTGGCCCAGCACCAGTAACTGCAAACAGGCAACTTTATTTTTACAAATCAGGAGTGCCTAGCTGTACTTTTCTGTTATGCATTTTTTTTTTTTTGGGGTGGATGACTGCTCAACCTATGTGCACTCTAAACAGTCAAATTCGACCAACTGTACTTAGTATGAAGTGTATGTGTAACAGAAAAATGGTACTGATAGCGGCTCACCTCAGCCTGTAGAGTCTCTAGTCGTGTCATGTGCTGGCTTGTAGACATACTCTTCTCCCTGAAGTCATCCCGTAATGAATGGACCTGAGTGGACAGCTGCCTCTCCACCTCCGCAGCCTGGATGGGGACAGACAGACAGGACGAAGAGAAAAATGATGACACAGTAAAGTAGTAGTAGTAGTAGTAGTAGTAGTAGTGGTGGTGGTCCACAGTTGCCTTAATTGTATTTACGCTTACTTTAAAAGAATTCAGCACTGTTGGCCTCACAATGGGCAGTTAAACAAAAAGCATAAGTCGAGTAGAGTGGGCTACAGAGGTTTTTGTCATTTTCACTGATTCAACTGACATCATTTGAGGCAGTCTATCAGACCCCAAACAGCCTTTGGAGCCACAAAAGACTTTATACAACTTTCTCTCATATGCAGTAGCCCTCCCTGACACCTGTAAACAGACTTTGATGTGTAAAATCGGAGTTATCCTTTAATTATTGTTCATGGTGATGTTGACATAACAACACAGTTAAAGTGTTACACTAACTGCTCAGCTAAATTAGAAAGACACAGCCGCTCTTTAGTCTGTGTCTCTTTACAAACATACTGAGGTGACTCATTGGAGTCTGATAACAAGTGTAGATAACACACACACACACACACACACACACACACACACACACACACACACACACATAAACACATTGAATGATGTTCACTATGTACTGAGTGTTCTGTCAAGGGTGCATTTGATAGCGGTTCCTCTGAAAGCCCAATTTTACCCAAATGTCACGGCCCTTTTCAAATGTCTCAAACAGTGCACTGGTCAGTTTTTGTGCGATTCAGCCCAGCAGCCGACTCAGTGCACCAGTTGAGCTTATTGGACAGGTAGGATCAGGCCACACAGAGCCTGGCTGTGCTTCATTAGCATAGAGCTGCACTCAGGAAGCAACCATTCGCATTATCATCACTGCCATGGCAACAGCAAAATCCTAAAAACCACTCACTTTTTACAGCTCACAGAGGAGACTAAAGATGTATTAAATATGTCAAAAGCACTATAAGAAAGAGACAATTGGTATACACACTGGGTACAAATTCCATTTATAGTTCTGTGGCAAGCAGATTGACCACGCATGTTTAATTCAAATTATCATTATTTTTTCTGGTTTGTCTTTCAGTCACTGGGTGTCGAGTGAAAATGAGATGAGTTATATCAATGAGAAGTACAGCCTCTAGGTGGCACTCCACACTGCTGCAGCTTCTCAAAGAAGCTCACAGAGAGATGTGAGGAGGCTCAACAGCTGGTCCATTAGCTCACTTCAGTTCACTTCTGTCCTTAGGTAACACTGGTTGTAGTCCATGTCTGTGTTCTGCTGGGAGTCTCTGGAAAGGACAAGCTGCCAGGATGGCTCTGCTTCAGCCCTGGCATTCTGGGGCTCCACTCTGAGCAGTAACTAATAATGCAGCACTCGTACTGCTCCTCCCTTGTAACCCTGAGTGACTTTTACACTAGAATTGTGGTTAAACTTTAATTAAGGAATTATACATGCAAAAAGTTCTCCCCACATAAAAGGTTTCTAATCAGAAGTTATCGTATATCTGCAAAGTTTTTTAAATTACAGCAAATTAATAAATCATCCACCTTCCGGTGTAGTGTTATTCCTGAAATTCCAAATTACACAGCACTGAGACCGCAATATATGACTATTTTGTAACATTATCATAATGATGGTGGTTGAACCATTTGCTGCCACACTGGAAAATGAAATCTCTCTTTGTATACCAATTAAACCTGGATTAAATAATGGCTGCAAATAATGTCTACTAATTATTGTAATTATTATATTTTGAACAATAGATAGATGGAGTTTATAACATCAAAACAATTCAAAAAGTTGAACTTTGTCTTTCACAAAACACTGATAATGGTTTTCACTGAGTGGGGGGACAGCTAATTGATGAGTGATAACTGAACAATACAGAATACGTTTTGTATGTTTTATTATGGTGTGGCAAGTCTGCCTGCTGTTCAAAGCAGGTTAAAGAAATGATGGGAGAAAGGTATCACTGTGTGTATCATACTCAAAGACAAGAAATGTCTTTACAATTAAACGATTTTATGAAAAACTTGAGGACTGACCTGCACAGAGATATGAATGGTATAACTAAAATGATTGTGCATGTATCCAGAGCTGACCTCAGGTCAGCCTATTACTAAGCCTTGGGGGAAAGCAGAGGAAGCTCAACACTATATATTAAAAGTAATGAGGATCTTATGAGGAGTTAAATGTAACCATAAAACACACTGTGAGATATGCCATTTAGGTGAACACCACCCTCCTCTGAAAGGTTGAAAGCACTGTTTCTCTTCAGTGGGATCCACTCCAAATTTATTCCATTTATTTTCACCAAAGGCTCCAACTTTTTAGCAAGACTGTGTAACTTTTGCTGAAGACTAGCCGCTGTGACCACAAATGGTAACTGCATGATAATGTGTGTGTTTATATCTTCTTTTACTATTGAAATCACTACCTGTAACATACTAAACTGCCGTGGTAAACTCAGTTACACAGCAATATTTATCTAAAATTAGCCACCATTAGCTACTGGTCATACATAGAGTGTATTGAATTGAAAAATGGTGTGTCTTATTGCTACTGAATTAAACTGTTAATTTGTATAAGGAGGAATATATGATTTCTTCTTTTAAAAATTAAAGTCTCACTTTAACTTCCCTTGGGATCTGCTCTCACCTTAAGTACTCAGGCTTTTGGCCCAGCACCAGTAGCTGCAAACAGGCAACTTTATTTTTACAAATCAGGAGTGCCTAGCTGTACTTTTCTGTTATGCATTTTTTTTTTTTTTTTGGGTGGATGACTGATCAACCTATTGGCACCCTAAACAGTCAAATTCGACCAACTGTGCTTAGTATAAAGTGTATGTGTAACAGAAAAATGGTACTGATAGCGGCTCACCTCAGCCTGTAGAGTCTCTAGTCGTGTCATGTGCTGGCTTGTGAGATATGCCATTTCAGACAACTGTGCTATGACCTACAGCAGTGAAACTTTTTGGTGTCAAGGACCACCTAGTTAAAATACAGCAGGTCCCAGACGCATATTTGGTAAGATGTAGTCTCAGGAACCCCCGTCTGATGAGATTTAGTTATTCCATAACTGTCTATACTGTAGATTGGATAAGACAGTGAAACCCATGAACAGACCGCTTCTGGAGCTTTCTGGACTCTGGTTGAGAATTGCTGACCTACAGAGGGAACACTGAAAAGGTTTCACAAAGAAACGACAGATACTTGTTGGTAAAACTGTTGGATGTAGCCAGCAAAAGAGCTATAACAAAAGAGAAAAGAGCAATAGCTTCAGGAAATTCATTTGATGAAAAAGAAATTGGGGGAAATTGGATAATTTACATGATACAGGATGCTGAACATGTTACATAACTGTAATGTATATACTGAATGTCTGAGTACACCATGACAATTTTCTGATCTATGTTATGATGTCATATTGTGAAACATTGCAGTTACAGTTTTTTCTAGATTTGACTACTTGATATACTGAATTTGAATTTGAATGTTAAAATTAATCAATTGCAACTACAGTTTGTCTCAGGTCGCAAGTCACCTTGTTGTATCACTATGAGCTAACGTCTCTGAGTTAATGAGTATTCAGTTTAGTGGCCAAATGTGAGCTTCTATGTGACGGATGCATGATCCCGTCATCTCTGTCTGTGAAACACATGTGCTCAGTGGAGGCCAGTGCAGCGCCAGGTCCCAGTGGTAAACGTGACATCTGACCCACTGGCCCAATACCCTTACAGATTTAGATCATGTGGAAAAAACACAGAGTAGAACTGCAGACTGCATGATTTGCAGACACTCACTTAATCTGCAGATAAATTCCTCAGATCCCAGATCAAGCTTTATCAGCAAGACAGGACAAACTGGGGGAAATCAGACTGCTGCTACAGAATCCAGGGCAGCTAAGTAGGGCTCAGCAGACATACACAATCCTTCACAGCCTCTTTACTCTGACATATACGTGAGCAAATAAGTACTGTACATTAACTTTCCACAGGAGGGTCGAAACTTTGAAAGTAGATATCACTCCTGTTGCTTCAGTCGCAGGCTGTCTGAGGTTGTGGAACATGATCTAGCAGATATGACTGCAGGTGCATCAAAGGTCTTTCGTGGCGCAGCCTAGCATCAAACTATCTGTATCCGTGTGTCATTCTGTAGAGCACATTCCCATGGTAACAACACACAGAGTTTCAATTTGCGTGTCACTCTGGTTGTCATGGCAACCAGGGAGAAGTGGGATTGGTGGAGCTGTGACTTGTGGTCTCATTGCTTCTGGTATTTTCCTAGTCACTTTCACGAAACGCTGCCTCGTCTAGACTCATGGAGGATGGGCTACCCCACGTTCAAATGGTTGCATAACAAATATGCGGCGTGACAATACGTGCCAATCAGAGAGCTGATCCTGAGAGCAACAGCTACCTTGGGCTGATGGGAGGCAGACGTTATGTGCTCCACTGACTGGATGTGATTGAAGCTGATAGCTGGACAGATGCCCAGGGACCATGTTCAACACTGGCTAGAGGTTGTAAAAGGAGGAGTGAAATTGAATCCTGTGCAGTGTGTGATGTGGATACACTGTGCCGATGAGGCACAGACACAACATAGGATGTCAGATTTCTGCTTTTGTCATTCAAAGAGGTTCTCATTACGCCTGTTAAATTGTTGTGAATCACAAGTCAAAAAACAGAATAAATAGCTTGAAATAAACAACACTGATGAGTCACCATAGGCTGATGTCAGCGTTTAATTAAGTAAATTCTAGAGGTTGAGGAAAGTAGAATTCACTATGGCCATAAAACATGCAGACACTTATGCTGGAGTCAGTGCATCCCCAGCCTTCTCTGAGCATGCGTGGTAATGTAATTATAAAAAGGTCCCCTTCCTGCTGGTTCACGCTGATCAGATTAGGCCTGAAGATATCGGCTGTTCTCACACTCAAGACCCATACAGACCAGCACACACCTCCTAGGCTCTACCCCAGGATCAATGGGAACCTATTTCCCCTGGGTGTATTGAATATGTATAGTGTCATTTATAGTTTTAACATCCAATATTCACTCACACACGCACACACCCACCCCTAAAGAGGAATTACCACAGGGGGTATTAGATAAGATGTGATGACAGACTAAATTATCAGATCTTCTTTGCCTTAAGATCTAAGTTACCTGCTGTTATTAATTAAGTAGAGTATGTACTGGACTTGTTTTGGTTCCTGACCGAATGCATATGGCAAGGCTATTAGCACGGATTACAGCCTAATCCCCTCAGCGCTGTGTCTTACCCCATGACTTACATCACTTCCTGTGGAGTGCCCTGTCTTCTCAAGGTCATCCCACTGCAGCCAATTGAAGGCTCTGTTAAGAACTGATTCCTGAGTTGTCAGGAGAGCGATACACAGTTTTTATAACTCTCATCTTCGGCTACAAGGTGCTTTAGAAATCATCCTTTAAAAAGATGCTCATATACGGAGGACAATTAATGCCTTATTCATCGATAAATAAATATGTACATGTATGCTGAAATAAATGTCGAAATAAATTAATAAAAAGAGGATTTAAAAAATAAATGAATGAATAAATAAAATCTGAAACTAACACAAATAATTCAATGCAAAAAAAGAATAAATAAAAAATATTGGTAATTTATTGCGAAATACATACATAACTGTCCTTAATCTATTTCTACATTTATGTAAATCTACATTCATTTATTTCTCTCTTTGTATATTTATATTTTTATTAACTTCTTATCATTCATTCAAATATGTATTTGTTTGTTCATTGATAAATAAGTTATTATTCATTCACAAGTTGTTTTTTTCTCCTTGTGTGTTGCTGTTGCTGTTGCTCTCACAATTGAGAGCCTACTCCTCAGTAGCTGTTTATATTGTCCAGTCACCACTCTCTGAAATGTGGTTTCCAGCAGGCATGCCAAAGGACTACAATAACAAGCTCATATTTACTTGGACAGTGCATAGGAACATGTGCTATCCATAGTTTTGGACAGAGCTTATAGGAGGCCACATATGGACTCATTTAGATCATAAGACTGTTCCCGTTAAAGAGTTAACTATTGTGAGAAACAGGGAGGGCAGATGAAAATAGCCGCTCTCCAGTGGATTCCCTACTGCAGAGTTTCCTCGGGGTAGTTTTTATACTCCCTCAGTTCACTCAGAGCTGTAAACAGTTAACATTACTTAGTCACAGCCCATTGCTTAGTAATAAGCACAGACACACACAGAGAAAAAAAGAGAAATTAAAGTAAGACAGACAGAGAGAAAGAAAGATAAAATGAGAGAAAGTAAGAACTGTGGCTGACCTCATTTATTTTATTACCCAGCAGGTCCCCCTCTGTCTTCCCAATTCACTGAATCATGGGATCTGGATCGATGCAGTCAATTAGGTCTCATAAATTTCACTGAGTCACAAAAACCACAAGATATGCTCCCCACAAAACAAAATACAGACCACTTTCAGGGAATATCTTTATAGATTTCCCACACCCAGGTTTCTATTAAATTAAATGCAGTTTAATTATGCAAAGTGCCTGCTCCTGCTTAGATCTATAGCAACTGACCAGTCCAGGGCAGTTCTTGATTGCAATGTGATGATGGTGTTGGGGCAAGATGGGGGCAGGAGGCTGATTTAAACTGATCAAAATGAGAAAGAGAGCTGCTCCGCACGGCAGCGAGCTGGGGGTTAAAATAAACTGCATGGAACCTCCTCTTGCCTGAGCAGTGTGTGCCTGGCAGCAGTTCATATCTTCTCCCAGGATTGGAAACAGCACACACACACACAAACACACACACATAGTGTGAGCGTTGCCATAGACAGCACTGCTGACAGGGTTATCAAAGCACCGGCACAGGCTTGTCAACCTTTGTATACGCCGCTCTGGGGCATCCGGGAATGTAACTTCCCACTGGCATCCACTGTCAGCCTACCTGGCAGCTGACAACACTGTTTGTGGCCCTTAAGTTGTTTTAATGGCGTTACAAGTGTTTATACTGTAGGTCCCTCTGACAGGCTAGGCTAGCGTGACGTAAAGTCCTGCTCCTGAAAAGCAAGCTCATCGCTGTGACAGTTCTACAGTGTGTTGGAGTGATATGTAGCTTCTGAACATAGCAGTTTGGGAAACACAAAATTATATATAGTGACATTAAACGTCATTTTGTCCTAGTGTGGAAAAATGAAGCCACCATGGAACGGACAGGACATGGACAAATTAACCAGAACATCACCATGTTTAATCCAGGCTAATCCCACAATAACACAAAAGAGTTACGTTAAAACCTCTTTTACACTGTCGCATTTGCAAGCTTCACAGAGATAAAGTTCACTGTCTGAGTGACCACACTTTTGGTGTAGATGGAGCAGATTGAGGTGTACTGAGCTGCTTAGCAGGGCTTAATCAGCTGTAGCTACAAACACTCTCAGCTCCATCAATCTGCACCTACTGCCAATTTCTCCTGACATGTGTACAGTACATCACATCAACAAGGATACAGCCCCAAACCTTGCAACCGTGAGCGCTGCTATTTGTTTGTATGTATGTATGTATCTGTCTGTCTGTCCATCGATCAATCAGTCTATCTGAGTGTTTCATATGTGACCTTTTCTGCTCTGTCTGTTATAATAACTGCACTCAAATGATCTGTCAATATGCAGAGTGCTGTTGCATAAGTGTGCAGTCCACTCATTCTAAATTATTCAACGTAAGACCCGGAACCTCCACTTTTATATTGATGACTTAGCATAATTCAGGTGATGTTAGAGAGAGTCAGCCTGAATGGAGGTAAATCCCCCCCTGAGGGATGATGAATCCTCACTTGGCTGAGCATCTTATGTCATGTCAGCCAGGCAGACTTGAACTGGACTGAGTGGCCCCAAGGCCAGGCCAGGGAGAAGCACATACTGTATACACACATACACGCACGCACACAGGGTGGAGGGGAATTTAAAGCAGCATTAAGACCATGTGACACAGTGACTCAAAGCCCAGGCTAATTAAATCATCCATGCAGATTTGCCCTCAGGCAGTAGTCTGAAGCACACACACACACACACACACACACACACACACACACACACACACACACACAGGCCCTGCTGCTCACCCTACTGAGTTGCTCCAGCAGTCTATGGTTCTGTTCAGAGAGCTCACTGATGGCCTTGGTCTTGTCTCTGTCGGCCTCCCTCAGTTGGACCTGGTGGCGCTCCAGCTCGCCCTGCAGCTGCTGGACGTCCGTCTCCAGCTCGGCCACACGGCCCTCCCACTCCCCCTCTCGACTTTCCAGACGCCGACGCAACTCGTGCTTCTCCTGCTCCAAGTGCTGCATGTGAATGAGGAGAGAGAGGGTGATATAGGGTTAAACCTTCATTTGCTTGAATTTGTTTTACAGTGCTGTCATAATTGTACAGAACATACAGTACAAATGACTAAGGGTGACAAAGTCAGAGACACACAGAGGCTGGTGCTTCAACAACCTGAGAAAGTTGTTCTTGATCCTTTGAAACATTTTTTCATATTGAAGGTAAAATAGTTTAGTGGGACAACTTGATCCCCTCACTAAACATCATTGTGTAATAAACACTACAATAAAGGCACAACCAAGTTGTTGTTTTGAAAGATCACATTTCCAGTCTTAACTTTTTTTTTACCTTTTATGCAAAAATCGGACTTATTTACATTGTGCTGCTGATGACGTCAATGACCATACATCAGCATTAACATATGATGCTAACAATGTAAAGAAAATTGGACTATTGCGCCATATGCCAGAAACTGAAGTTTCGTTACTTAACAACACATAAAAACATGCAAAACGGGGCAATAAAAAAAATGCAAACCTAAAATGTAATGATATAAAGTAGATATAGACAACTGGGAGTTGTTCGGTCTCTGTTAATAACATTATAAAGAATACGGTCTAGACATGCTCTATATGAAAAGTGTAACTTATGACTTGGTGGTATCTATATATATATATAAAATTGGGTAAAAAAAGTGAAAAAAACACAAAAACAAACTGAACCAGTGTCTTGTTTCCCTAGCTCCTGGAGTGACAGTCCGGCTAATAAGAAGCTTCTTTCTATTCTCTAGATGGCAACAAACAGTGGACAGATGCACTGCACCACCAGCGGCTGCCAGAGTTTGGATTGGGGGTTGTTGTTGTGGTTAAGTCCAAGGCTGAAGCAGCTGGCATCTGTGTGGCCACTATTTTCATCTCTGTGTGAATGCCCGAACAAAAGGAGGGATCAAAGGGAATCAAAACAACATCAAACCCTGTCGGAATAAGATACCAGGAACTGTAACGACATCAATGATAAGAGGAGTTTGACATTAAGATGCAGCTTATTTCTCTGAGCTGCAACACAGGGATGAATATGGATCAAAGGGCTGAACAGATGTACAGTAGATACAGTAGGCCCTGGACAGCCACAGGATTAGTCTTTGTTTTTTCTCAGGCCACGTGTTTGCTAGTGTGAAGGATTTTGAAAAACAACATGAACATAAGCTCAGCTGTACAGCATTCATTGTAAACATGATGTGTGAAATGAGTAAGGACTGTGCTACAGCTTAGCTTGGCTGTTAATGACAGTGTAGTAGACTTACATCAGAATGACCAGCAAGTTTCAATTCACCCAGTGTAGCTAGTAGTTACAACTGTATGCATAAAAAAAAGCGAATCATGCTAGAAACAGCTGCTACAGGCAGCATTTGTTATGATCCTCTTGAGTTTGTTTACAATGCAAAGGCCCAAACTTGACTGTAGGATTATGGCATTTTCAGAACAAACCAGAGATGCGGCAGCATTCAGACTTGAGTAAATGATATATTCTTTTCTTAGTTTACCTCTAATTTCTCGTTGAGATCTTTGTGCATTTTCTCATATTGCTTGGTCAAGTCTTGGTTTCTCTCGAGCAGAGCTTTGCCGAGTTTAGCAGCTAAAACCAAGTCTTTTTCCTTTTGACGGAAGAGCGACAACAAGTCTGCAGGCGTCTCTAGGTCCGACAGCTCCTTCTCGTCGTCCCGCTCCCCGGTAAGCATGGCCAGTTCCTCCTCTAAGGCCATGCCGAGGCCTCCGGAGCCGGTGTGCCGCAACGGGTGACCCTGAAAGCCGCCCGGCTCCTGAGCTGCAGGGCTGGCCCGGGGCTCCATGCAGTCGCTGTCCAGCTCCAGTGGTGCTGAAACCACGGCAGACGTCTGCAGGTCGAGGCAGAAAGCGGACATCGCCGCCCGGCGGAGGAGAAGCCAACAGATAAGAGCCGACCGATTTCACTCCGGATGAACCCACCCTGCTTTGACAGGGTTGGGCTGACCGGACCGGCTTGTAATCGACATTTCATCCACCATTCTCGCAATTCCGAGCAGGAGCCAGTTAGATTGTAAACTATCGTCTTCCCAGTTTCCTCACGTCCCTCTCTCCTCCTCGTTAACCTACCAGCCGCGACTCTGGCTCTGATTGAATCCCAGCAAACACCGCCTCCTCTGCAGCTCACTGACTGGCTGCTTATTACTGGGCACACACAATGTTATTATCCCGGAATAAACCGCCTCGATGAGCTCTGCGTAGCGGTCGGTCGGTCATGGTCCATCCCGTCTCGGGGTCCTGGGTCCCCCATAATGATCGGCCTGTTACACCGGAGGCATTTGCCAGCCAAACAGATGAGCGCGATCCCGATGCCTTCTCAACCTCTTTCCCGTCTTAAATGCGCGTTCCCGCCACGGTAGTGACGCCGGCTGCGACCTGTTACAAACGGACAGCCCATTGGCTGAAAATGATAGCGCCATATTTTGGTGCTTCTTGCACACATCTGTGACACCCAGCAAATGAGCACGTGAAGGGCTATCACAAGAACAGACTGTAACCACTGACAGTAACGTTATATATATATATATACTGCTACTGGTAAAATGTGTGTCAGAAATGGTGAAGCAAGAACATCCTGTGATGTTTGGAGATGAATATTATTTGCTTAATTTGACGTATTATGATATCAATTAATTACATGTTAGAGAAAACCACTACCCCAATTATGATGTTTTCCTGACCTTACCCACAAAAAAGATAATTTGACACTTTTTTTGGTTTCCTGTTTCCCCAGTAAAAAAAATGAAAAGTAACTGATCTTTTTTTTGAAATACAGAAGGCAACTGTGCTGCAAATACAACTTGTAGCCACCTCACTTGAGTATTTCCATTTCATGGTGACTTCATTACATTCCAGAGGGACAGCTAAAGTTACCAGGTACATGGCAGGATTTTTATCAACTATGATGCATTGTTATTGTTTAAACTGTTATATTAAACTACCCAATAGTGTGTAATGTAAAATTGTATTCCCATCTTAAACATTAGAGTGCTGTAATAATATAGCTATGTGACATTATGAAAGGTCCCACTCTGAATAATAAGTAGCCTACATTTACTTTTTGATTTTACTTACTTTTGAAGTACAATTTGCTGATAACGCGTGTACATTTATGACAGAGTCAAATTAGATTAATTGAACTATGTATAATTGCTAAACAAGTGTAATGTGAATTTAATTGTAGCTGTGTGCATCCATGGCAGCTGTACACATGGCTTCATATGAAGAGAAATGTCACACTGGCCTTAAGCTTCACGTTCAACTACCCCAGGCTAATTTGAAAATGCCATGCCATGCCAAGGCTAACATCTATTTTGAAGGTATTTTTCTCTTTTTTTTCCATCGATGAAGGTGATAGGGTTTGGTCCCAAGAAACTAAGCTATTAACTTAAGAATGATAATCACTATAATTCCACATCAGCAAGCTGGACCTCACTCGTGGGATGTTAGGAATTATGGGATCAGGACAATCCAAAAGATGTTAATTGAATCGGATGTATAGATGCATAACTTCCTTGTTTTTTTCTGAATTGGGTGTCAGACTGCATACTGATGTGTGTATATTTTAAACAGAGGCATAAAATTAAGAACTGCTTGCTAACTGGCTCATTTAGGGTCAAGGCATAAATTAAAGGTTAATATTACCGTTAGGATTAGGATTACATTAGTGTGATCTGAGGTTAAAGGTTAAGGAATTAACATTCTGATTAAAGGCCCTCACAGATACGGCAATATGTGTGTCTCTGTGTGTGTGTGTGTGAGCGGGGGATGAAGGGGTAGAGATGAGGATAGGATGTTGGGGGCGGGGCATTGATGATGAATGATTGCAAACAAAGCCTCTTGAGCTGATAAAATGAAGGCACAAAAGAAGTGGGTCACAGCCTGCTGGTCCACTGTCCCTAGCTCCAGGGGTCGTGGGGGGCCACACAGTAGATAATGGGTGATTTCCTCAGAGCACATCAAAACCTCACTGCTTGGATAAACTGCTAAGCTGAATGAATTTTGCAGCCTGCGTTATCCTTATTAGTGTAATGCTGCTGGTATTGAGTTGATGGAAAACACAAGGAAAAACAACAACAACCTCAGTCCGATCAGTCAGAAGTGGGTTGCTTTTACAGTTAATAAGATTTCTGTTACAAACAATATGTTAACAATTGCTGTTACAACGCAGCAAAAATAAAAAATAAAAGATTGAACCAGAGTTAAATACAATCAAATCCCATCAGAGAGCTTTTAAATGGACAGTGTTAATGTTAAAACATTGCGACATATTAACACAGCAATATGTAATGTTACATAACTTTTTTGGTAGATAATGTAAATTTTTGTCATTGTAGGAGAAGAAACTGATGATTGCATGAAGCTTTTTGTCGGTAATGTTGATAAATCGACTACCACACATACCCCCTGCAGGGGGAATACTGCAGTTGTGCTTGATTTAAAAATAAATAAATACAAAAATAATTTTAAAAATGTCAGTCATACATAATTCCTAAAATAATTATACAGTTTCAATAAAAAATATAAGTAAAGCACATATTGTATTAAATATTCCTATTTTCAATGCAATCAGCCACAAACTGTCAACTGCAGTAAAACCTCTGGTGGCCTGCCACCTAGAATGACAGAGATCCTCAGTAAAGCACAACAAGCCATGTTTCTCTCAGTTCAGTGCAACCACATTGCTGTCATGTTATTGCATGATGCCAACATATATGTTTGGCATGAATTTCTTTTATGATGGATTCTAAACAACTGAAATTAAGCATTTAAGTGTTTTTCTTAATAAATCAGACACTGATAGCTTGTGCTGGTCAGGGCGTAATCAAAGTGGTACATTAATGAAATAAGTTTGAGGAAGCACTGATCTACCACATTGCCTTGCCTCTTTGGGTGGAGATAAACATTACCAACTGGCTCCTTATTGCTCTTTATTATAGACTGTGGCTCCATCTGTGGGGGAAAAAATGATATTACATTCACATTCCCCAAAATGATGGGTAAACAATCAAGAGCTTACTTATGCTCCACAGCTCTAAAGAGCTGCACAGATCAGATCTGAAAATTTTGGGGTTGCTGTGTTATAATGATCAATGCTATAAACCACCATGCAATGATTTTATGAATGATCGCCAATTACTTTGGGTATAAGAGATTAAGGATCCATGAATTTAAAAAAAATATTTTTTTAAACATAGGCAGCCATACAGTCATAACTAGGGTTACAGAGCTCCAGCATTTACAACCAATTCCCCCAGACAACATATAACCTTATGTCTGTGATGGATTGTCAAAGACATCAAAAGATTTGTCTGTAAATCTGCGAGCGGCAGCATCCCAGCCCCTCTCCATATTGTCTTGTGGTAGTCGTGTGATTTACCTACTGAATAAGCAACCTTTATTCCCCTCAAACAGTGAATCTAGCTCCTTTAATAGTGCCAGTTTACAACGAGTAGAGCAGTGTCTTCCTAGTACTTAGTGTTCTGTGCTTATGTAACATCAACCCTTAGTCATACAGGCCTGACTCTGCCTTTTTTCAACTAATGCAAGGCTTGGCTGCCTGTTATGTAACAAAACTAGACTCTTCAAACCTCTAGATTGCACTATTTCTCTCTGATACCCCCTAACCTCATACCAAGATACAGAACACACAAGATATATAGAAACGTAGCCATTTCAATAGTTTGCCAGTGGGAGGCAGTGTTTTTATACTTATTCTAGATGACTTGGAAAGCTTGTCAGGCACCTGCTGCGAGGTACCCTCTCTCTGATCAGTTAAGTTTCCCCTTGTTGATAGGTTCTGTCATTGCTCTATTGGTATACTATTACTTTACCATTGCTGTGCACGGACATAAGAACAACCTTTTTTTTTTTAAATTAACAGTACTGGGCTTACACACTGTAGAAAGATTTGAATTGTCAACAGAATGTGAAGTGATTTTGAGGTAATTCATTACATTACGTTACAGGGACAGCCTAGTGAAAACATCTAGTCAAAAGAATTGTAATTTTCCATCTTTACTTCAGAAAGCTGGTATTGGCCTTAGAGACATACAATACCTTGTTGCTAGGTAACATCAGTATGATGCCTCTGCCTCAACCCAATACTCCTCCAAATCACTGTGAAAATGCAACCCTTTTTCATACCGATGTCAGTAAATCATTATAGCGTTAATATAAACTGTTTTTAATAGTTTACCAGTATTGCTTTCACATGTAACTATGTGAATGTTAAGAATGCTTTATGTGGCATAGGAAAATACATGCAGACTTTAAAAAGATTGTTTTTACTTTGCGAGCAGTAACCTGTAATAGCTGTCTCCACAACAGGCTGTATAGTAGCTGTGAAGGTTTAAAAAAGTGTCATGCTGAAAAAAGGCACATAGCTCTAACAGCAGACTGAATTATGTAATGGCATAAGGTAAAAGTTCTGCTCATTAATCATTTACATTTTTTTTCCCAAGCATAATGAAGGATCGATAAGAAAACTTCTCTCTGAATTCTACGCTTCTCACCTGCACAGATGTTAGGTTGCATAGGTGTCACTTTGAGAGGCTGTTTCTGTGGCAGGTAAGACCTCATCCTGGCTCCATGTGGGGAAATCTTTAATTGTGGGCTCTTTCTCTGATGCTAGCTAAGGTTTTCCACATGCCTTCATTAGTAATACAGACATAAAAGTCCAATTAACAACCAGTAAGAAGTATAAGTGAGTACTGCCACTGATTACTGTAACACTCATTGATTGTACAGTACTGTGCTTTCACCTTCTGAGCATTTTGTCCCTTCTGCTGCGCTGATGCAGTACTGCTTGCCAGGTTAGGTTCTGCCATCTGTTAGTGTGTGTGTAATCTGTCACTGTGCGTGTGTGTAGTTTGCAATTCAGTATCACAGTGACGTGTCACTTGGCTTACATTAACATAAAAACAAGAAAATTGAGGTGAGGCTGAACTAGTGTGTCAGACGGGGACCTTGTTAGGTTGTGTCATGACAATACTGTTAACTCTTGTACAATAATACTTCAATATGCTTTGTCACAGTGTTATCTGTGTACATTAGTTTACAGTACTTTCAGTGTACTCTGTTACAGTGCCATTAGAGGTTATTCTGACACAGTGCACTTCACGTGTAGTTTAGCAGCAATGCTCTGTTTAATGCTTTTATTTCAAGCTATTAAAGAAATGTTAGTGACATTTTGGCGGTAAGGAATGATGACATATTGTTAGAAAGCTCCTTGCTGGGCTTTATCTAGAAGCAAAAAGAACACAGTAGCAACTGTACTATGAAACTAAAGGGAAAATACAAGTGAAAAGTGTGACAGACTCAAAGGCTCATAACTCTAACCCTTATTTGAGAAAGTGATCATCTCTGCAAATAGAATTTATAAATTCTACAGGAAGGCTACTGTATGTTATAAATCAAACATTACTATTGTTTTTACACTGCTATAAAATAAAGAAAGTGTTCCCCTTTTGCTAAAAACCTTAATGAACTTTTCCGCTTT